ATTGGCATCCATATGAAGCAAAGACAAATGAGGCAACAACCAATAACTAATGGTGACACAAAGAACACTGTGGTATTACTACTGTTACTTAAGTAAAATGTAAGAATAATGCTTGTTATTTGAGTATAGTTATTGCTGCAATATGTAAATGATTTGAAGGTTTCAGCAGGTAAAGACGTTTTCATTTTTACGTTAGTAACTACTTGATGAATTTGAAGGGATTAAAGGGGCTATATTCTGCTCATTTTCAGGTTCATATATCTGTACCATGTGCTTCTACTGTGACATGTCAACATGCTTTGATGTTTAAACCGTTTTTTATTTTCCTGTGCTGCTCCACCTCTTTTCACCCTCTGAAACGCTGCGAAATAGCCTATGCTCTGAAAGCCCAGTCTGCTCTGATTTGTTGACGGCCAACTCTGTTGTAATTGGTCAACAACTTAAAGATGTTGCTAAAGCCCCCCCCCTCATTAGCATATCACGTACAATGTAAAGACAACCGCACAATAAGCTTGTATTACATGCATACAGAGATTTGCAACGTTTAAATTAGATTTTGTCCGCATTTGGGCGAGCTCGACTGATGCTGATATCATTGTCTTATCAGAAACGTGGCTAGATAAGTCTATTTTGGCCTCTGACATCTACTTAAATGGTTATAGTGTATATCGTACCGACCGTCCTAAAAAAGGTGGTGGCGTTGCCATTTATGTGAAAAATAAGTTTTGTGTAACCAAGATGGTTTCCAAATCTATTAGTAAACAACTAGAATTTTTAGCGTTAAATATTGAAGTAGCAAAGGGTCAACAGGTCATGGTGGTGGGCTGCTACAGACCCCCCTCAGCTGTCAAGGACTTTTTATCTTCATTGGCAAAACTTTTATCTCAACTTGACTACAAGGAAATAGTGCTGCTTGGTGATTTTAATTGGGACTGGTTAACTTCTGTGTCAGAGGATTTTAAAAACCTTTGTATCTCTCTGAATGTTACTCAGATTATAGACAGTCCTACTCGCCCTAACATTAAGTCCCCAAATAAATCCTCCTTAATTGATCTCATTTTAACTAATGTTCCCCATAAATACTTATCTGTGGGAGTATTTGCAAATTATCTGAGTGATCACTGTGTTGTAGCCACAATTAGGGACACAAAAGTCCAAAAGGTTAAACCTCGCATTATCATTAAGAGAGACAAAAAACATTTTGTGGAGCAGGGTTTTGTACATGATCCGTTTGATTTTGATTGGGGTAAAATCGATCTGTGTGCTGATGTAGAAACTGCATGGTCTTATTTTTATCTTGGTTTTATGGAAATTATAGATAGACATGCACCCCTGCGTACATTTAGAGTGAAGGGACGAGACAACCCTTGGTTTTCTGCTGACTTATCTAGTCTCCTACATGAGAGAAACAAGGCCTGGGCAAAGGCTAGGAAATCAGGCTCAGAGGTAGAATGGCTACGCTTTAGACAGCTAAGAAATAGCTTCACATCACAAATAAAAAGTGCTAAGTCTAAGTATTATCTGTCAGTTACCACAAAGAACCTGAATATTCCTGGAAAATGTTGGAAAGCCATAAAATCGATATCCACCGGTGATATCCGTAATGAGCTACCTCCTTGCATTACCACAGCATCTGGCACTATATCGGACAGGGCCACTATGTTAAATTGTTTTAATGAGCATTTTGTGTCCTGTGGCTCTCTGTTTGATTCTGTGACTAACTCTGCTTCTGTGAACACCACAGTCTGTGACTCTGAAAAACGTGTTTTGGAAAACCCTTTTAGTTTTACTCCTTTTACTGTTGATGTTGTTCGTGAAGTTTTAACCAAGTTAGATCCTAAGAAACCGGCTGGCCCGGACAACGTAGAACTTTTCTTTTTAAAGATAGCTGCAGATTTTATTGCTCCACCTCTCACTACTCTTTTTAACCTCTCCCTCAGCACAAACACAATTCCAAAATTGTGGAAGTCAGCGTATGTCCTGCCTCTACTAAAAGGTGGGGAGGCCACTTTATTAAATAATTATAGGCCCATCTCTAAATTATCAGTTCTGGCTAAGGTTCTTGAACGCCTAGTGAGTGAGCAGGTAAAGGTGTTTTTATGTACAAATGACATCCTGTCTAAACATCAGTCAGGCTTCAGAAAGCAACATAGCACCATCACTGCCACAATGAAAGTGGTGAATGATGTGGCGAGTATTTTAGATAATAAGCAGAGCTGTGCAGCTCTATTTATTGACCTTTCCAAAGCGTTTGATACCGTCGATCATCGCATCTTAAAGCAGAGGCTACTCAGTATTGGCATATCTAGCCATGCAGTGGGGTGGTTTGTGAACTACCTCTCTGAAAGGTCCCAATGTGTTCATTTTGATGGGCTGTCTTCTGAGTGGTTAAACATTACTAATGGTGTTCCTCAAGGTTCTGTTTTAGGTCCACTTTTATTCTCCATCTACATCAATAGTTTAGGTGAAAATGTCGATGGAGCAACCTTACATTTTTATGCGGACGATACCATTATGTACTGTGCACGTCCCTCCATTAAGGAGGCGGTTGTTGAATTGCAAGCTGCTTTTAACATTATTCAGACTCAGCTCTCTGAACTAAAGCTTCTTTTAAATGTTGATAAAACCAAGGTAATGCTCTTTTCAAAAGCTAAAAAGACACCAGAGCCTGTTTTAGATATTGTAACTACTAAAACTTGAAGTGGTTGCCTGTTACAAATACCTTGGTATCTGGCTTGATGATTGTCTCACTTTTAAACGTCATGTCAATAACCTGCTTAAAAAACTGAGGGTTAGGCTAGGTTTCTTCTACAGGAACAAGTCCTGTTTCTCGCTCGAGGCCAGAAAAAGGCTAGTCTCTGTGACCTTTTTACCTGTGCTGGACTATGGTGATTTGATTTATATGAATGCACCTGCCAATTGCCTGGTCAAGTTAGATGCTGCGTATCACAGTGCACTGAGATTTGTGACAAACTGTAAAGCATTAACCCATCACTGTACCCTGTATGCAAGGGCTGGTTTGCCTTCGCTAACTGTACGGAGGCTCAGTCACTGGTACATTTTTATATATAAAGCCATGTTAGGGAAACTTCCATCCTACATCTGCTCCCTGATCTCACGGCGAATTGTAAGTGGCTACTGCCTGAGATCGCATGCTGTGGTTTTATTAAATGTGCCAACTGCTAGGACTGTCTTAGGGAAGATAGCATTTAGATGTGCAGCTCCACTGTCCTGGAATAGTCTGCAATTGAAATGGAAACTGAGCAATCTGGTGCCACTAAATGTTTTTAAAGCTCGGTTGGATGCTACTGAATCGGAAGCTGTTGGTACCTGTTCATGTGGATAGTTATGTAAACTGTAATCCCTGTAATGATACTGTATGATGTCCTTTTGTTGTTCTGTTTATGTTTTAATGTGGAACCTACTTGAGCAGGTCCCCCTTGAAAAAGAGGTCAATGATCTCAATGGGATACAACCTGGATAAATAAAGGTTTGAAATGAAATGAAAGTGAACATCCTCAAATTGAAAATGGCTCCAAACATAAGCCATGTTGTACATTTAAGCTGGTCATCTTTAGCTTGGCTGATTTTAATAATAATACATTTTATTTATCAAGAGCTTTATCAAGTGCTCAAAGACGATTTACAGAAGTAAGAATAAATAAGATAAGATAAAAAGTCGAATTGAAATCGAGCAATAAAACCACATTTATCAGAAGGACATGTCATCAATCACACGTTAAAAGCTAGTCTAAAAAGGTGAGTTGTGGTCAGAGTTCTGAAGGTGGGGGGGTCAGTACAGTCTCTGATTTGTTGTGGGAGTGAGTTCTAGAGGGTGGGGGCAGCAATGGAGAATGATCTGTCACCCCAGGTCCGATGCTTGGTTCGTGTGGGGATAGACAGGAGGTTGGCTTCTGATGAGCGAAGGCTGCGGGAGGGGGTGTGGTGGTGAGGGCTTTTGTGGGGATGTAAAGTTCGATGTCATCAGCGTAGTAATCTGTAGTAACGCAGATATGACATTTTAACAGTGACTGAGTCTTTCAACAACAACGCTGAAGATATTATCAACTTACATGTAGCTTGTGTTAGCAAGTTAGCCAAACTAAGTTAAAGTTTGTCATCTCTTCATTACACCCATGTGATATTTTTAGCCAAGGCTACAACTGTGTTTGCAACTAAACTTCCACAACAGCTCCAGAACCACAAGTAATAAAGACTACTTACAGGTAGTGACCCTAAATCGCCATATTGGCCCAACAAAGTGGGAACTACCCAGTATTTAATCAGTAACTGTTGCGAATATCTGACGTTAGTCTGTTGAATATAGTATGGTAGTCCAATAAAAGGAAGGTTCCGTTCCCATAGCAGTAAACGGCATATTCTCGACATTTGTTTGCAGGTATACAAACAACTTAACCTGTGCGTGGGTATGGCTCCGATGGAGCTTTATTCATAAGAACACAGTACTTACACTATGTGACTTTCCATCACTGCCAATACCTTGACTGATGATGACTGTTATCATACTTTCAGTCGTCCAGGTTTCTACTGTTCTGATTTCTTGATGTTAGAATCACATCTGAAGAACATGTTTACTTGGTGATACTTGTTTTCCCTCATTCTTTTTTCAGATGTACTGTATATGCATCATCCATTCCTGCAACCATTTAAGTCTTCAGTGCCTATTAAAACTGCTTCATATTGCTTTATTAAATCCCTGTTTCTCTTTCCCTTTTTTCATAGGATGCCATTACTCAACATGAGTATGAATGACCTGTACAACCTTGTACAGATACGTGAACTAACTGGAGAGCCTTAGTAAATATCCAGCACTGTGGACACACGCCATACAAGCCACCAATAGATTATTTCAAGGACAGAGATCCTGACCACACTGCCCTCACCTCGAGCCTCAGCTAATTTTCCTTTTTCTACAATATTGTACCCAGTTAAGAGCACCCCCCCCCCCCCTCCAGCTGCCCTCCTTCTGACACAGGGAAATGCCTGTGTTGCTTAATGCCGACGTCTCCTTCAGCTCCAAGCAGGAGCTCCTGGACGTTCAGGACTGCCCTCTCAGCGGGGGCCCCTCTCTGAACACCCCTAGCCCCCCAGACTCCCAGACAGGCAGCCCAGTAGGCTCAGCCCCGAGAAGTACTGGCAGCCCCGAAGATGTCCCCATTCTGCCCCATATTTTCACAGGGGCTTCCACAGCACCGGGGCAGCTATACAGGGTCAACACGAGACCCACCCCGGAGGCTCCCTTGGGGTTAAAGCTGATCTCAACCGAGGCGGATCAGCTATGTGGCTGGGGGGCCCTGACGCCCACAGCCATCCAAGGGTTCAACACCCCTCGCTGGGTGCTGTTCTTCCTATGCGTGGCTTCTTTCCTCCAAGGGATGATCATCAACGGCTTCATCAACACGGTGGTGACCTCCATCGAGAGGCGCTTCGACCTGCGCAGCTACCAGGCCGGCCTCATCGCGAGCAGCTACGACATCGCCGCCTGCGTCTGCCTGGCGTTCGTCAGTTACTTCGGCGGGACAGGACACAAGCCTCGCTGGCTGGGGTGGGGTGTGCTGATCATGGCTGTGGGTTCTCTTGTGTTTGCCTTGCCTCACTTCACCACCCCCCTGTACCAAGTCAGTCTGACGGAGCCAACAGTCATGTGCTCGGACAACCGCACCAGCCCGTGCCGGGACAAAGAGGGCGGGGGACTGTCCAGCTATCGGTTTGTGTTCATGCTGGGGCAGTTTCTACACGGTGTGGGGGCCACGCCTCTCTACACACTGGGGGTCACATACCTGGATGAGAACGTCAAGTCCAACTATGCACCTGTTTATATTGGTGAGTTAGTCATTCAGAACAGCATGTTCTTTTGCTTTGTTTGTAATTATGTTATTTCTTACTAACTGGACAATCTTTTCTCTGTATGTCTGTGACTCGTTTTCATCCTCAACGACTTATTCCCGAGATACTTAACAGCACATTGGGTCAAGTCAATTTACAGGTGGACATATTGATTAGTTGATATATCAAGATTTGTGAAACTAAGAATTTTTTTTTTTAATGGCAACCTTACGCACACTGAAACATATTTGACACATTGAACTTGGGCTGACCAGTTAATTTAATTAATCAAACATTTTAATTTAAAAATAGTTTATAGATTTCAAATTGCATAAATAGTATATTATATAGATTTTCTCTTGCGATTTGTTAATCACCTTCTTTTAAATGGCAATTGGATTTAAATAAATGAATTGTTCAAACCAAGGCCTTAGGTATATCATACAGTAAGACTTGTGAAGCTGACTTTTCTGTTACCGGATGTTCATTTTAGTTTTTTGAAAGCGCTATGATTTCATAGAATAATAAGAACACATGCATATTGCAGGTCTTGTGAAAATTCCCAACTGTATCTTTTTGTAATAGAAGCATGTTCTGTAGCAGTTTTAGTCTGTTGTGTATGGAAGCAAACAAGAGACAGAAGTATTTGAATTTTATCAGACACCGAATTTATAGCATTGAAAATAATTACTTTGAAAATCATGTATCTGAATTTGTTTTGCTCCGAATTTACCTATGTGAAATAAAAATGTAAAAATTCAAGTTAAAAAAATTCGAATGTTCAAATTCAGATCCCAAAAATTCAAGTTAAAAAAATTCGAATGGACAATTTCGGTGTTTAAAATTCGACGTCCAAAATTGCGATGCAACATCATCCGGGCTACCCAGACAGGATAAGCAATCGAGCCTGAATGCAATCGAACCGACTTCTGGCCTATCAGAGCACGGCTTTGTCAGTCATGTGATCACAACAACCCGGGAGAAAGATGACGGAGAACAGCGGGGCTCGGGTAAGTAGTCAGTTTGTGCTCTTTATTTTACAAGCAGTGAGGGCTCGACAGCCTTTGTATCTTACATTAGCTAGCTAAATGAGTGAAGTAGCCTTGTGCCTTGCTGTTAGCAAGCTCCGTAGTTATCATTAATTGAAGTGAATCACAACGTTACCGTGTCCTTTTGTGTGTGTGTGGGGGGGTGACGGTTTGCAAAGTAACGTTACGATCACTTCGGTTAGATAAGTCAAGTAGACCATGCTACACTATATAAATACTCTCTTACAAAAGCCCTGCATTTAAACATGTTAATGTTACTTTAGTAAAAGTATGCTAGTATAATTAGGAAAGTGTTGTTAAAGTATTTAAAGTAGTGTTGATAATTTGTGATCTTCTCGCTCCCAGGAAAGAAACTTAAAATAACGAGACTAATGGAGTCTCTGAAAAGGTTCAAATGGGTAGTTTAATTAAGTAACGTGGTTAAAGAACAAGCATGGTGAATGGAGAGACAAAGCCGGTGTTGTCTTGAGGGAGGCTGCAGCGAAGGGAAGAGACTGAGTTATCTTTCGTCCTGCCTTTTTATCCACGTCTCGTTGTCCCCCGCTGTGCAAATAGTGGGTGGCCCCCTACTCATTTGCCGGTTCGATATCGCGAGAGCACAGATGATTTCGACATTGATATTCTCTGCCTACTTCCTTAAGCATTTTCTCCTCATTATCTCTGTCATGACTTTCTATTTAATACCTTATAAACAGCTGTAATACTTAGTTTAGAAGTCCTAGTGGTTCCGCTCCGGCACAGTTCTTATTTTACGGAAATTCCCTCTGACGTCATAGCTTCTCACGTATCTGTAAACACTACGATCAACTAGACCTTCATTTAATATTCAGCAGTAATAATATCTTAACGTCTATCGATGTAGTGTTAAAGTCCGTACGTTTGTGTGTAACACTCCAAGTCATTTTCACTTTACATTCAGAAAACGCAACATTAGTCACAAGCTAACCGGATAAAGGATTTTTCAAAATAAAAGCTTGGCATTGATTTCCTGAGAACTTCCGGGCTTTTCCACAATAAAACAGCTTTAAACTGACGATATGTTTTAGACTGAATTATGCTGTTTAACATTGATTTTAATTTCTAACAGTAGACACAAGTTATACTATTATATTATATCATTTGTTTTATTGTTATTACCAATGCAAGAGTTGACTTAACTGTTGTAGTTGGAGCTCATTTTGAACAATGAGCTAACTAATGATTACTTTCATAATGGTTTAATGTGCTGACTATTTTCTACATTAATAGATGAAGGTCTGGTTTGTTCAAACTCTCAAAATAGTAGGACATGCTGTGATAATTACCCAGAGTCCGAAGTGACACCTTTACAATGTTAAAGCTGTTAGATAAATGTAGTGATGTAAAAACTAAAATATTCAAGATAGTGTAGTGGAAAAGAGATAATGTTTTAAAAACATGTTACTAAAACAAAATCTCTTGTTTTGGACTGACAGTAATGATTCAAGAAATAGTAGATAAATAAATACACACACATCAATCTGTGTGCATTTGTTGTGGATGGAACACAACAAATGGTGCTCTTACCTGTGATGCCTCCTCCACACATTATAACCAGACTGTATCATTCAAACTATAAGTAACAGTTCTAGCTACTTGACAAACAATTCAAAAGACAAAATCAACACAATTTATTGAAAGACCAATCTTTATTTTACGGTGCCTCTCCTTTTGTTTGTATTATTAAACCCTGTCAATCTAAAAAACTGAGCAACTCAACAGTTAACTTTATATTTCTTATTGTCCAAAGCATCTATTACACTATTTATTCCCCTCTCATATTCACAGGATGGATGATTAGAGACTTTGGGGGAAACCTCAGCTTTATGAACGTCCTGTCTGTTGGTTTGGCCAGAGAGGGCTGAGGGTCTTTCCCTGCGAGGAGGACCAGGCCTGAGGGAGGAGGACCTGCACCAGCTGCACCTACAGAACTTAGCCCATGCTGGGCATAGCTGTTACCACCTGCACAGGCCTAGCCTGTCACTTTATTTGACAACATGTGTTTACTTATGTATATTATTTCGTTTTTATTTTAAAAAATTGTGATGGTTCATGCTTGATAACTTTTAGTTCACATTTCAATAAATTGTATTTGTATTTGCACTCCTTTTTTCCGTTATTCTTACTGAAAATGTTAAATTACACATTCACATCTGACTGAAGATTGGCACCATTTATTTGTGACGTTGCAAACTCTGCGGTACAAGGCACAAGTATTGTGAAGCCCATAAAGTGAGGCAAATGCATTTGATCAGCTGACTTTTTTTTTTTGCCAAACTTTATAGGCCTGACAATAATGACACTGTCTCTGAGGTGCAACGTAAAACACAAAAATGTAATTCCTGTTAGACTACAAAACTAGTCAGTGTGCAGGCCTTTGTGTTACAATATAAGTGTCTCTTATGGCGCGTTTCCACTACAACGCGGAGCACGGTTTAAGAGGGCTGTGACGTCAGCGGCCCGTCTTTGGTTGCGTTTCCACTTGGCCTAGTACCGGCCGGCGGGTCCTAATTCACAGTTTTTCTGGCCTCATAAAATCGTGGGTCTAGGGCCAGAGACAACGAGGCTGAGTCGGGCTGAGTATGCTAAACTAGAGAGAGCATCGCTGGCAAGGGGGCTACAACTACAACAAGATGAACATATTTGACCGTGATTTAATTGTAATACACGTTTCAAAATGATGCCGAAGTAACAACATACTGATACCGGTTAGTAAAAACCATGAATTAATGCTTTGACAAGTCTGCAGACAGACGGCAGGCGAAAAACCTTTTAAAATGCGTGTTTTCTAAATGGAGATTGGCTAAGCTAACGCAGTATATGCTCCGACCGTCCACACTCACAACAACGGCCTATACAGACATAAATAAAGCAGCGACTGTATTCACCATGACACAGACAGTCTGTGGTTTGTACTTGTTTAACTTTTGTCTAGTTTCTGAACATATATGAGGAGCTGTGAGCTCTGAGTGCTAACAGCTAACGGCTGTGTTGTTTTTCTTGGGTTCTCATTGAAGATGACGTCACGGCTCCGCCTACACTGCGTTACTATAGATACTACCCCAGTTCCTAAACTGTAATGGAAATGCGCCATAAAGTGAGCCAGTCCTAACGGGGCCTAGCCATACCGAGCGAGGCCGAGCAAGGCCGTGTAGTGGAAACGCGCAATTAGTGAATGTCCTGTACTGCTCTTACATCTCATAACATCAGCTTTTCCTTTCCCTCTTGGATGTTCTTCTTGACCCTCAGAGAAAGAGAAAATGGTGAAGCAGTCCTGTCTCTCAGGCATGTCCTTTCCTAACAGAAATATCAAAAAACATATTATTGCAGAGCAAGTGTGTTATTTAAGAAAGAGGTGTGTTCAGGGGCTATAAATATAATGATTTTTTTATTTGAATGTTTTTTAAATCCAACAGTGTACTACAAAGATAATCAGATTATGAATAAACCGTTCTAAATTCATCAACATTGAAATAAATGTATTATTAAAATAATATTTAACTGTTATCAAAACTTAGTGCAACTGTAGAAGCTTGCTATTTTCGGTTGTCTCACTGAAAGAATCACTTTTAACATGTTTTTTACAGTCAATATGCAGAGACAAAGGGTCGTAGTTCTTACTATGTTCAATAATATTTGCCTTAAATACATTGAAATGTGAAAGTTGAACAAAAAAGTTATGTTGCTTGGTAAAAATGTAAATGTAACCTTTTGCTAAGAAAGTACACTCAACATCACTGATGTGTAGGTGATCTAGTATTTAGTAATGTTTAATGGCATGTATATCAGTGTATTTGAGTCATTACTTTATTTTTTAAAACCAACAACTTTATGCATTCTTTGTAAATTATTAAAAAGGTATATGTACCTTGGAATCCGTGCTGAAGTTCTCTGCTGTTAGGAGTCCAGATCTGTCTCTCCTCCTCTGGTCCAGCCTGTCTGGATCACCTTAAGGACATTTTGAACAAACAGATGTAAAGTTACATGCGTGGGTTACAGAGTTCTTTACATGCAAACAACTTGTTATCTTCTTTTAAAAACAGGTCATAATCTTATTGTTATACTTAAAGGTAGGTTAGGTAAGTTTGAGAAACCGGCTCGAGATCGCTAGAATTTGAAAATACACAAACGGAGAAAATCTGCCACTTCCTTATAGAGCCCCTCCTCCAACACACACGAACGCGCACATGACCAATGAGGGCACGAGATAAGTTTGTGCACTGATGGAAGGCTGACAGGCAGGTAGGCCATCCAGTTATTTTAGCCGGGCCGGCTAAAATGATTGGTCGTGCTTTTTACAGTACTACGGCTTCCACAGATGACATTTTTTTATGGATTTTTTGTCAAAGCACTTAAGATATTCATTGCTATCGGGATGTTAAGAGCATTCCTTGGAATATAACAAAAAGTGTATCTCGAGCCGGTTTCTCAAACTTACCTACCCTACCTTTAAGAAATTGCTGGATATCACAGTCCTTATACTGTATCAGTTTGATTGAGTATTATTGTGTAGGTCCTTTTTATTTTATTGTTACTTTGGATGAGTTTTTCTTGAGTCAGTCAAATTAATTTGTTTTCATATGCCATATTCATATGTATCACACACGTAAGGGTAAGGCACAAACCTATTTAACAAATGCAATGAATGGATAAGCTTAATTTTCACTGAAGTCACAGATAACGTCATATCTAATATTTAAAGGGGACCTATCATGCAAAATGCACTTTTTTACGTCTTTTATACATGAATATGTGTCCCCGGTGTTCCAGGGAACTCACCAAGTGTCAGAAAACACAACCCTCTCTATTTTCCTCCATACCCAAATCTCTAAAAAAGGGGCTGCAACGGATCTGATAAAAACTGATCCAGATTTGAGTGGCGCTACGGCTATTGGGCCAACTCCACCAATCAGGAGGAGACAGCCACGGCCATTGCCGTTCGAAAGCGCTGGAGACGCTGTAGTACATATGCCAGGCCAGTAGATGGTGCTGTTCTCACAGAATCAGCCCTTGCAAAAACAGAGCTGGAAATTGTCAAATTGAGCAAAATGAGGCATCGCATGATCTGTTTGGCATTTTGAAAAAAAAAAAGTATAAATATGCCTTATATAGGTATGGTCCTACACTATATTATTCAAATATAGCATGATAGGTCCACTTTAAACAAATCATTTCCTTGTCACTAAAGCATTGACTACGCTATTCATCGTCCTTAAATGCAGGCATTAAGTTACATGTTCCGTTCTACAGCCACGATAAGGCTGTTTCTCAAGTGTGATGATAATACAATGAAAAGAGGCATTGGTAATAATATTAAAAACAACAATGTTTGGGTCGTTCGTCGGATAGGCGGTTAGCTGCAATAAATAACTCCAGTTCAACAAACCATATTACAATATCTAAGTGAGCGTTATTTCTGGACCATCTTGAAATGTGACGTTCATATTTTAAAGATACACACATTTCATTGTGAGGTTGATTTAATATACACTAAGCCTCTCTTCAACAATACGTTGACGTTAGCTAGTCTATTTTATGCTATAGTAGAGCATAGTGAATTTAAATGAACCTTAACAATGCATACAGTAACCTAACTTGCAAACTAACTATCTAACGTACAAGGATGACCTTATTTTACCAACCTCGCACAGAAGCCTTTTGGTATACAGTAGCATCCCACTTAATGTTTTATACTTCTCTATTACGTTTAACTTGGATGCTACGCATAGCATCGTTAGCTCAGATGGAGCTACCGATTGCTCAAATGCTAACCCAACTCTAAACATTCATTAACGTTAGCTTAATAAAAACACCAGTAACATAACATAAAGTACGCAGGGTTAACTTACCGAAGAAACTGCATTCATGGACGGTCTGTTTTAACCGCAGATAAATCCTATATTTGCATGACGAATAGTCCATCAGGAACCAACACAACAAACAAGGCCGAGTTCAAGTAGTGTTCTCCTCATGAGCTGAGCCCCTGTAGCATCACGGAGCCAATGGAGCTAACGGAGCTAGCAGTGAGACAGAGGAGCTAGGAGCAGCAGTCCCGTTGTCAAGGGGGAATCTAACTATATACAGAATATGTTTTTGTGGATCCAGGCTAGAAACATGTTCATTTTCTGATGTTAAAGGGGACCTATCATGCAAAATGCACTTTTGTACGTCTTTTATACATGAATATGTGTCCCCGGTGTTCCAGGGAACTCACCAAGTGTCAGAAAACACAACCCTCTCTCTTTTCTTCCATACCCAAATCTCTAAAAACGGGGCTGCAACGGATCTGATAAAAACTGATCCAGATTTGAACATTCCTCTGACGTCAGGACGGCGGAGCTGACCTATCAGGGGAATGAGAGGTTGCCGTGGCATGGTAACAGCATGGTAACACGACGCTCGTAACTCGGCCCCCTCCTTTACAGGGGGGCGTGGTCAGCTGCAGCGCATGCAAAGGCAGGGTGGAGGACAGCAAAATAGAGCGAAATGAGGCATGGCTAAAATGCATGATCTGTTTGGTATTTTGAAAAAGAAAACGTATAAATATACCTTGTATGGCCCTACAATATATTATTCAAATATAGCATGATAGGTCCACTTTAAGTTGGACATTTTAACATACAGATGTAGCACCTCATTTCGGACAGTTTAACCTGTTACACACCTTCTTAATATTTAATAAACTATGAATGTTTTATATCCATGTAATGGGAAGAAACTCAGCTAACTGATCTTTTTAATTTTTTTTCTCCAAAAAAACCCCACAATGCTAACACTCAGCCTCTGAATTAGCCACGAGCGAAAAAATGTAACCTATCACTGCACCTAAACTCACTCATAACTCCCTTATTACTTATCCTAGATGCACAGCCAACCCATCGATTAGCATCTCCTGGAGACACAGAATATGTGGGTGCCCACCTCAACACTCAGTGATAAACATTTGCAACACTATAAACGAAAGCGTACATCAAAACATGTGGCGCTAGGTAGCTACAAACGCTAACATGGCTTACCTTGGTCAAAACTGGTCTTCAATGGCATTAAAACGATAAAAAAACGATGCTGCAGTTAATCCATAGGTTAATCCAATGTGTCTGTGT